CCCTCCCCAAATGAGCCACCTGCTCCATCGGGTTTGTCAGCTGCTGACGCTGTTTATTTTGCTGGCTTTTGGGACTTCGTCCTGTGGGCGAGAACACCCAGGCACTGAGCTGAGTGCTGAGCAGAGGAACTGACCCCAGGGCAGGTGGGGAGCCAGGGAGCGGGGTGCTGTGGATGGAGACCACCCCACCACCTGCCTGTTTGCAACAGAAGGAGGATGGGAGGGATATTTTGGGTGGGGGGCAGCTCTGGGCAGGGTGCTTCAGCCTCTACTCCTCTTCTTTTGTCGGCTCAGGGCTGGAAGCACTCTACCGGGTCGTTGGAGTCAGGCAGGATGTTGCAGTTGATGGGCCAGAGGATGCCAAGGAGGCCAAGGGACTGCTGGCACCGCAGCTCGGCAGCCAGGCACACGGCTCGGCAGGGCTGCAGGACCCCTCCATCTGGGGTGCACTTGGGCACGAAGAGGCTGCAGATGAGGAGGCGGAGGTGCTGGTAGCAGGCAAGCTCCATCAGCGTCTGTGGGAGAATGGTGGTGAGTCTGGCACAGTGTGGTGTGGTGCGGGCAGACCCCCGTGCAGCCCCTGGGCGGCTCACCTGGTAGTCCTGCAGCACCTCAGCAGCTCCCTCCTGGTCTGGGATGGCCAGCCAGATGTTGGGGAAGGAGGTGGCATTGTAGCCCAGCCCCAGGCACATCTCCACTTCCACAGGCTCACAGACAGACCCTGCCACAGGGCGAGGTGCTTCACTTCTTATAGCAGCAGTGATGCCCGCCAGGCGTGCCTCGGGCAAATGTTTGCCATGTGGCAGCTACCAGCATCTCTGGGGCCAGGTGGTCTCGGGGGGGGCCTGAGTGCAGAGTGGAGGACCTGGGGGTGGCACTCACCGAAGGGTGGGTAGGAGACCTCAGTGCAGTTCAGCTCGTCGGTGCCATCAGGGCAGTCGTGCCAGCCGTCACACACGGACTCCAGCGCCTGGCACTCACCGTTTCCACAGGAGAACTCCGTGGGGCTGCAGGTCTCTGTAAGACGGAGAGGGGCCAGCGCAGCAGGGCATGGGCACGGACAGGGCGCAGGCTGGCTGTGGCCGGGGGGGAGACTCCTGCCCCACATCTCCACTCTTCTTGCTCACTGGCCAGGGGACATCCAGGTGAGTGGCTGCATAGCACTGCCACCTGGTAGCCATGGCCAATAGGTGACCATTGCTGGCCCAGCTTAGGGGGATCCCAAACTCCCTGGGTTATTTGGGGGCAGCCTTTGGGTGATGGATTGTGCCTGTGTCCAGGTGAGCCCTTCCAGGCCACAACCCCATGGCTAGGATCAGTAGGGTTATAGGGTGATTCAGGTGAGAAAGGACCCCAGGGACCTGTAGCCCAACCTACTCCAAACAGGGTCAGTTATGGGGTAAGAGCAATTTTTTCCAGGGCTTTATGCTATCTAGTAATGAAAACCCCCAAGGATGGTGGCTGCACATCCCCTCTGGGTCGCCTGCGCCTGTGCTTGGCTACCTACTCTCAGTGGCATTGCGGGCCTGGTAGGTGGCAAAGAACCCATTGTCAGCTACTCCCTCATCCGCCACGAAGAGGACAGTCATGACATGGCGTGAGGACGTCAGGGTGGGTGGCAGCTGGTGGCCGCAGAACCTGCCAGGGACAGGAGGCGAGGGATGGGGTCAGGGTGGGCAGTGGGGCCAATCAGCACCTCCCCAAACCCTGTCCCCTGGTGGCTCCTCCTCACCAGCCTGCCCTGTGCCTCAGTTTCCCCAGCTGAGCCACGGGAGCCCAGTGCACTGAGGCAGGTGCGGCAGGACCAGAGATATTAGGGGTGTGCCTGTACCTGCCCATGAGGCTGGCAGCCCCCGTGGCTGCGCTGTCATGCACCTCCACAAAGTCAAAGTTGCAGTCCTCATGTGACTCCAGGCTGAAGTTGTGGAAGTGTAGGTCGATGACGTGGCCCACGGGCACCGAGATCTGCCAGAGGCACAGCTGCAGGGCAGGGGTCAGCCAGCGACACCCGTGAAGCTGGGCAGGGGCACCCCCACCTCTCCTCGGTGGGAGGTTGCCTTCCTCCCTGCCTGCCCTCACCCTCACCCTCCTCCCACCTCCATCCCGCTGGCATCCCTTCTCTCACCTGCTGGTGTGGGTATGGCTGGGGATGGCTGGGGGTAGAGAAGTGCCCCTCCAAGGTGGTCAGCGGTCCCCCGCACTCTGCAGGGA